ACAAAAGCTTCTTCGAGAAAAATGCTTTTTATTAGACAATTCTTTAACCTGTCATTCAAACTTGTAACATAGTATGAAAAGCCATCCCACGCATTATTTGGCGCCATTGAGTTCGTTATTATTTATACGTTTTTTTTTAATAAACATTAGCATGTGGCGTCATTCTCAAGATTCGGAACGTGGGCGTCAACCGTCAACTGAAGTCGAGGCAGGAATTTAATTAGTGAGAAACTGAGCAACGTTTATTAGTTTGTTTAGAGGGTAAAGTTTATCGTCTATTATTAACTGGCACTCCAGAAGTATTGCCCCGCTGTGCCTAACTCTGAAGTTCATTATGTCTGCAATATTGACGTTCAATTCTGCAACGATGAATAGAAACAGAGTCTGGCTGGTGTATTTATACATTTTCAAGTAGATAGAAATAAAAGTAAATTAGATCACCATGTTATATTTCTTTAAAGTTACCAGTACCAAAAATACAGAAGCATAGAAAAATTATCAGATTTTAATGCGTAAAAAAATGGTTTTTGATTAAATTATCAAACAAAATTATACATTTGTAAATGTAAATCAAAGTATAGTGAATCCGCTTTAAGCAGTAGGATTATAGAAACTTATGGCGCGAGCAATTTTTTGTAACATCGTTAAGAAGATTATGTTTTATACTCCAACATGGGGATAATAGTATTACGTTACGAATACACACATAACATGATGGAATATCGTTAAATGCAAACTGTTGTTGTTTACGTGATCTTACTAGTATTATACATGCGAACAGTTGGATGGATGTTTGTTATTACGTAACTCCAAGTACTCTACACAACTTTCTATAATCTCTGGGCAGTGTCGCAGGCAACAGCCAATGCTGATAAATAATACATAACTACACTATTAATTAGTGAAATAATCAACTATTAGTATTTACTTCTGCTCCTTAGGATAGAACATAAAAATGGGATTAACAGATAAACGACTTCTTCCGACAATTATAACAGAACCGGACGAATATTTCTCACGAAGTCGGAAAAGCGGAGACACACATTTCCATTTTAGCCGACGAGACCGAGACCCCGACGGTAATAAATTTCTAATGTAGGGTACCCCGTATCGATTACATTTCCAGAGAGGGGCCCTGTTTGTGCTGAGCAGGTATGACATCACAGAATAAACTCGATTGATATAAATAAATCTATGACAATGTATTTAAATTTGGTTTTAGTTACCATGGAATTATATTCGATGCGTTTTATGGGTTTGAACAAAGATTTGTCTGTACAATCTTTTGGCAATCGATAACCAGTTGATCAAGTTACGGAGTTGTTTAAGTTAGTCATTTTTTTTAACATGTTTAGGTGCTCATAGTCAGTTTCTGAACAACAAATATACAACAAGTAGTTAGTTGTTTACTAGTATAAACATTTTACATCACTGCGTAGAGAAGAACAAATCTTCTACAATGGTGTCGGCTCGGATATTCAACGCAGAGCTATGCGCTTGAGTCTACTCGACAATTGAACTAATTATGCCGTTAACGGGATTATATTTTTAGAAACATGTAATAGTCTGGTGTTGGGACGATGACTTGTCCCTAGAACTGAGCCCTACAATGTCTTCTTAATTGTTTGTAATTTCAAAAGTTTTTCTTGAAAGTTATTATGTATGGTAAATAGAGACAAGTTAATTTACAAACAAAATTAATATTATGTGGATTATGTCACTAGCTTGGGAGTTTTAAACGCGATGACTTAATTCGACGATTAAATTTAGACGTTACTACTACACAAACTAATGAGCGACCAGGGTTCAGCTCCCCTCGGGGATGTTTTGCGACCGTTTGCAGTATACCATAGTGCTGAATAAATAAAATGCAATTAAGAACAGGGAGCCACACAATCGCACCCCAATGTGAGACAAGCTTCCGCGAATTACTGACGAAATCTCACAACAAAAATACCGAGATAATATTTTTAATATGTTATAATAATTTCCGTTACGTAACATAGGTTGAGGTAACTTCAATTTAACACGTTTCATTACACTCGAAAGAACATCGAAAGTAATCGGATTTATTCAAAGGTACACGAATGTATGTCCGCTAATGTGGAAACGCTGCATGAACCTCCGGGCCACGTGCGGGGCGTAACCGTGGCAACCGAGGAAACTACGTCGTTTACTTCCCCCTGCTCTCCTTCCTAAATTTATGTTTTCCTTTGATACAGAAATTGTTCTCTTACGTGTGCGTAAACATTTTTTAATACATTTCTAAGTCTGTAAGAAATATAAGTATAAAAAGCCCTCAGGACAGTAGGTACCATATGCCGTCAAAATATTTACCAGAATTATTACAATTGCGGACACCGCTATAAGTCTAATCTACACTATTATAGATGGGTGTAGTTATAGAATTCGAATAATTGTGGACTACAAACAACAATCGTTTTCATATAAATACAAATAAAGCGTTGACCTCTTGAAATGAACTAGCCATAACAATAAAATAAGTGGAAGAGAGTTGGCGGGATTTAGCAGGCGGATTTAGGATAGCAAGTATTAGGGCGTCTCAAGATATTATGTCATGATAAATGGCTGAGCGTTGAGACTAGTTGTATAAAGGTATACATATAATATAGCAGATGTATTATACAATATGAACCAGTTCTGCAATAAAAAAGTATCTAGTACAAATCTATTAGAAGGTATGTATCGATCTATTATAGAAATATGTTGTAAGTTAGTATTAGAAATCCAAACGATCACGTCACTCTAACCTCCAATATAATTGAGCTATTCGTAGGTAACATTAAAAACAAATTGCTAATTCTAAAGTCGGATAGTCGCCAACTTTAATAGATTCTTGAATTGTAGTTTTTACAGCTTCGTAAATAAAGGTATATTTGTAGTTTTGAAACCGAAAATAATAATAATAATAATATTTATAGTAATGCATTGCAGCGTCAAAACTATCGGCACACATATTCGTATAGCAAAAACTCGAGTATTGTCCACCCCGCGTAGCCATCCTGTCGCCATTTGATCCCTGTCAATACGCAATTGTGTTTACCCATCAGATTCCCCCATTGTTATTGGAAATCCCGTTCCCTGTTCGTGTCTGTGGTTTACTGAGCGGTTCTGTTAGGCGACTGTGCCGCCGCAGATCGTGTTTGATAATACGATTTTGGGATACCGGTTTAAACTCGCGTATATTGTCAGACATTCTTTTACGTAGAATTGTTTTAACGTTTTTACTTTAAACATTTATACCTAGATAACCGAATGTTTATAGTACTACTACAAGTATTTTTAAAGAACGTATAAAGTCAATCAAGATTATTTATACTACTCATGTTGAAATGTGAGATGTTAAGGTTAAAAGGCAGATAACTTAAACTTAAATACCTCTTCTCTTGACTGCTTTACACATTATTGATCGACATTTAATTAAGTCTTGCTCAGAGTATGAACAGTAAAGTTAATTTTCAATTGAGCAAAGAGCCGCTGATTGGCAATGATCGCCTCATCCGGCCGTCGGCGAATCTAATAGTGAAAGTAATTGAACGTACGATCGGAAAACCTATAAATAGATTTTTCTTTACATATTTGCATATATTGGTAATTAAAGTTAATGATATGTGGCCTTAAAATTTAACTATAACTTGTTAAATGTCAATTTAGAGATACTTAAACTAAATACTTTAATAAGGTGATTTGGTACTCTACGTCGTAAATCAGCGAACAAAATATCAATTATCATTATCAAGGCAGTAGTTCCTATGCACCTATTATTCCTCTCGCTAAGGGACTTTAAAATGTAAATCCAGGACGTGGACCTACCTAATTCAAAGTAACATATTATAAGATGCATAATGGAATACACTTGCATGTTGCATAACTAGGTCGTTGCAGAATGAAGTTATTACTTGAGTTGCAGCGACAAACACTGTGATATCTAATTTCTCGCCGGTCATTGTGAGAGGCTACAATGTGCCTGGAGCCGTGGCGAAGGCCGAATCGCACGGCATAACCAATGTATTATACTTACAGATTACAACTATACATATTCCGATAACTATAGCTTTGAAACTATGCCAAGCTTTAATATAATTGTATATTTTAGAAAAAAAAATACAATGATTCCTACAATGCCAATTATACTTCATACTAATATTATAAATGCGAATGTTTAGATGGTTAGATGGATGAATGGATGTTTGTTTGAAGGTATCTCCGGAGCGGCTTGACGAATCTTGATGAAATTTGGCACAGGCGTAGAACCTAGTCTGGAAGAACACATAGGCTACTCAATAGATTTTTTTAATTCCGCGCGGACGGAGTCGTGGGCGACAGCTAGTAATTGATATTTAGAGACAGCGAGAAACAAAAGACTACAAGTGAAGTACTACCACAAATTGTGGTAAAGAAATTAAGCTTACAATCTGAAGCATTAGGTTGTGGTTAACCGCAGTAAGTCGCGTATTTCTTCAGTACAAGACCTCAAAATAGCATTATGACTAATCTTGCTGTACAAGATGTAACTTAATAAAGGGAATAAAACATGCTAACTTAGACAGCTGCATCGTCACTTAACTGGTTACATTGTCCTAAAGCTGGCCTTTCATTGTACTTAACAAAGTCATCGTTTATGACTTAAAGTTACTTAATTATTTCAGTTAGGTTAATTTAATGCTACAAAAATAAAAAGGAGTGTGCAATTAATATTCTATTGTTTTTTTTTATTAAATTTAAGAATGTCTGGTCACAGTATAAGTTATAGTATAGGTCTCTATATAAACAGAACGAAAGAAAAAAGAAAATTAAATGAAAAAAAATATTAAATGGAAGACTGGGAAAACCTCTATGACATCAAAGTATGTAATAATGGCAAAAGTCCGTCGCTAAGGCTACAAATTAAAATACTGGATAAATGAAGATAAAAGTGATACGAAGTTTTTGTTGCGATGTGAGAATAGATTATTTAATTTATATTTATTTCATTGCAGATCTACCGGATTATAAACTGGAACAATCATTGCTGTCCGCTTAGAAAGGTAAAAAAAAAAGTTATATTTAAAGGTACCTATGAAGAGCAACAAAAAAGAGGCACTCAAATTTTAGATTTAGATTTAGCGATGTAAAATCAAACAGGAAATCGGTCATATCTAAACCAGACAATACGGCAATGGGAATGGCAAAAAGTGACAATACGGTCAATTCAATGGAATACTTGGTAGATGTCGTCATCGTTCTAAAAATAACATCGTTTCGCAACCGGCTTCAAAGCGAGTGCCCACTATCATCCTGTTAAAGAGACGGGATGAACTGTCGTTGAATTACGGAAGAAAACGACTTAGGAAAATGCCGCTGTATGCACATGCCTATGTGCCGTTTTATAATGCAAATTGTACAATTTAATTTACATTTCTTAGTTTATTTTAATAAGCTTATTAAAAAAATTACGTTGCATATCCTGGTTATTAACTAAATTACTGAATATATTCCAATGTTTTTTTTACATTAATACAAAAAGATTAATTTAAAGATATATTTTGATATGCAATTGTTGTTTTTTGTGGAAAAAATACAAACTTGAAGATTTTACCCCACTAGTGCTCAGTAGTATAGCATTCATATTCAATTTTCTAGTAAGTTATACATCAATAGAAAATTTGTATCTTGAATAATCAACTTAAAATATTTGCTAATGGATACTCACGTATCGGTGATGATGATCGGTGATTGTGACGTAACACAGAGTAACACACGTAGACTACGGATATGAACGATAGATGTGATAAAGTGAGGGTAAAGAGTGGCAGATGCATCGCTATTAAAGTAGGCCAGTAAGCCGGTGTATCATAACCGGCGCTATTATCAGCAATCAGACGGCGACCTTGCCGCTCGTTGTCGCACGTCGTGGGGAGCAGATTGTCATCCTCCATTCCGGCATCCGCCTTACGTGATACGTGCATTTCCATTATGTAACACCTTGTCACACATCATATATTCCCTCGCGATAAAGTTACTTGCGTAGCCATAGCTGCTTGCTTTATGAATACTTTATTTATTCGCCGGCCTCATGCTAATGTTCGCTATGAAACTCAAATACGAATAACAAAGCTTCACTAGTATTTAGAACAAAAAACTTGTTATTTACAAATTTAGACAATACTGTAAAGTTTAATCAAATAATAATAAAACGCAATTTAAAAGATTTCAACGACTTTCTACGTACATTTTGCTGCGCATAACAAACTATTGCGTCGCGCACCTTATTGCTCATTCAATTGAATACAATTGATGGAGAGTTCGTCGTTGTCTTCTCATTGAAATATCAAGACAACATCCTATGAATGCAACCGGTTACATTCGTACGTACGATATCAAAATACAAAGGTATGAAAGTATTTTGTTTAAATAAATTGACTTCGCCAAAAGTAAATTTAAAAGGTAAACAATTACAGACAAAAAAATCAGCACAAAAGTGGGAAGCTTCGCCACAACTGTAAAATTTGTTTAATATTAATTACGAAGCGCAAAAAGATACCGGCACTTCTCGCAATGGATGCGCTCGTCTTGTAAACTTTTTACAGAGCTGCCAAATTACAAACAATGAGCGATACTTTAAAACTGGCTTTAAATAAAAACTTCTTTCCAAATATTCAACGACGACGCATACCAATGTGCAGACGTTAAACAATCCAAGTTTCTTTTAAATCTTACTCATGACGCATACTCGTTTGACCGCATCTTTCAGTCCCGAGAGTAACTGCGATGCGATTCTGGGATCCTGGGTTCAATTCCCATGGAATACTATCAATAAGTGTTGTTGTAAAAAAGCATAATATCAAAGTTATATTCCTCATACATAGTTATACTCCAATACAAATAGCATTTAAGTTTACGAAACATAAAACATGTTTTTTTTTACTCTAATAAAAGTCAAAATTTAATCTGAACATATTTTTGCTTTAGTTGAATTTAGTTGCATCTAAAAAATAATGTCTGAACACTAATATTAACATATAGCATTTTTAATTTCCACTGACCCGATATGATTTATTATTAAGCAGAGATTTTATAGCAATCAAAAATTAAATCAAACGCAGCAGCACAAGTTTATATTTAACTGTAAAATGACGACACGTCTGAAATCAATGCATCATAAATTATTTATAAGTAAATGTCGCCGCTCATTCGAAAACGACTGTGTTTAGTCTCGCACGCAGTTGAGATAGACAGACAGTTCAATCGCATCTGCCATATACGCAAACGCTTAATTTATTACTTCCTCGATAGTAAATAAGCTTGTATAAGATCGTTGATAATCATAAATACTGTGCAAATAAATCATTGAATGCGTAATATAGCTAAGTGCAAATTGCTGCCTTCACAAGTAGTCCAGAGAAGTGGTGATTAGCGCAGGTGCGATGATGCCGCTCGCTTCAATACGTTATTCGGTTAATTAGTCCCTAGTTTGATTTATAGCAGCACTTTGTCTTCGCCCCGGTCAACGGTACCTATTTATCTATATCGGATTGCGGAACGTTGACGTATAGCGGCAACTCGGAAACGGCAGAATAAAACAATGTTGCCGGTGAATTTTCAGTAATTACGTTGCGGATACACGCAGGTTTGAACACATGAATGTTTTTTATCCTGCGAATCTTTCGACACCGCCACGCATCGCGAATGATGCTGAATGTAACACCGATGACCCAATTACAGGTTGTCGTACTCTATCTGCGTGAATCATTAACAACGAATGCGTAAATTGAATAGATATCCCTAAACTCTTATCAAATGATACATATTCTATTTCAGACTTATGAGTCATTTGCAATTTGATACATAATAAACACGCTAATATTACAACATTCTAATAAACAAAAAGCGTAAGTCAATCAATACTTTTTAATAGAAAGTCTCAATTGATTGGAAGCGGATTATGCCGCTCTAAGTTTGTGCAGTAAATAAGCATAAAATTTAATAATTCAGATTAAAGCCTTTGCCTTTTGTTTCATCGCTATAAAGGAATCTTCTTATGTCAATTAACTTAATGGATTAACATTTTACGTATATGTAGGGCACGTGTTGCGTGATGACCGCAAGCTACTCGTTCTCACCGCGACTGACTGTCCATTAGTGTAATACGTGAACGAAGTACTTTGGTTGATGCTACTCACAACTGACACTATAAATATTTTAATAGGTTTATAATTCACGCGATGACCCAGGTCACGGTTGATGGATAAAGCTTTTATTAAAAAGCTTTGCACCTACGCTAATATACAATTTTTTTGTCATTATTTTTTATAACTTTGCGATGTTTGTCAGATCAAGGTAAATAGTAACAAAGGATTACTATTGGACTTTCTGAGGGTTGGGCAGTGCCTCCGACAAAATGAATAATTTATTTTTATGATTAAAATACGATAATATCTTTATACAACCTCTACACCCTCCTTTATTGAAGTACATAATAAACGACTTTCAGTTATTTCCTTCGACCTTTAACGTCTAAGACAACAACTTATCAATTCAAGTACTAAAGCCCGCATCCTATTCTCTCAAGGATATTAGTTCGATACTGGTTCTCAGATCAATGACTTCTTACATTTATATAAAGAATATATGCCGAGTAAAATCCCTTTGACTATTAAATATAAAAACCACTGGACAAGTTGTACTCATGTCATACGTCACAATATCTTACTCAACATGGGTGAGTCCCCACTATGAATAGATCATAGAATCATAAAGCACGGCGTTTCACAACAGTTGTGTATGGCTTATATCCTCGGGCATGTTATTCCCACGACATCAGCTGGTTCATGCGCCGGTGCGCGCCCAGCAGCCCGTGACGTCACGACCAGTGATAACAGGTCGCGGTACCGTAGATACGTAGACTTTGTAACTAATTCATGCACTTTCAGTCAATGTTAACGAAAATATGTACGGCCGTGACCTGATGTTCTAGATTACCATAATGCAATTTTCACTCATCTATCTCGTTCAAACTACATAAAAGTTTTCATAATTGGGGCAACTTTTCAATTTATTTTTATCAAGCATCGAATGCAACGATGAATAAGAGTGGCAGGTGAATTTTTCAATTAAAATGATGCTAAAATTAAACTGTTTCTTTCCCCCTTTGTTTTAAATTACCAACCTTTACGCTTCACTATCTACACTTGCATCAACAACCGAATTGTTTTTATAAAACCAAGGCATAACAGTTATTTGTTACTCGCGGAGGCACTTTTCAAGTCACCTTTCGTGTTACTTATTCATCTAATGTTTGGCTAAGGTTTATAGACAAATAATAAAAGAAAATAAAAAATAATCACGCTAGACAAATAAATTGCTAGAGCGTCAATTCCGTTGCGAAGTTCAAGGAAAACAATTCGCGGAAACTTACGATTGAAAAACACGATAACAAAATAGATAGACCAAAAAGTACAATGACAAAAACTGTAAAATAAAACAACAAATAGCACAAAGCGGGCGCGAGCTCTACAAAATGATTTATGGACAGTTAGCACCGGTAAACCAGAGGCGTCGGCGCCCGGGAAAGCAATTTACTGTGACGCAAAAAACGACCAGCGCCCGATAGATCGACCCGAGCATTGTGCCAGCACGAAGCACTGAGCGGCGTTATTAACAGATCAACTAACGGAACCACTCACATCACATCGCACTTATTATAAACTTTCATTGTGGATGACATTTACAAACTGTCTGACGGAATAGGGATATATGACAATGATATTTTCACGACCCAGTTTAAATCACATACATTTAAAAAATTGGAAAACGTAATTTCAGTCTCATATTCTCAACCAATGCCAAAAAAGATACTATTCAGTTGGTCACGATAGTTACGAACTTCTTGTTCTTTAACAATTTAAGGTGACTACACTTTTTCCTGCAGTTTGTAATGGCTAGTCTATGTTTAAGCTCCACAATATAACAACATGTTTATAGCCGCATCATGCGTCTATTAGATCGTAATGAGATGATTTCTAGTAAACATATCGAACGTGACGCG